CCCAAACACACAGAAAAAAAGTAGAAATCAGTTTCTTTTCTCAAGGAATGCTTGCTTCATTTCCACTTCTCAAGAATTGTAGCCTTACTCTTATTGCATCCTCTTCTCATCCAAGCACACCTCTGCAACTTGGTTAATCTTACCTAATATCACATTGTTGTTTCAATTGGAATTTAGCCCAGATACATTCACACAATAGTACTGCCAACCAGGTATCCTTTTGCAGAGATAGGAACCAAAGAAAATCAAGTGTCGTAGCTTTGGTGTATATTCCATGGGAGAAATATAGCAAGCACATCCCTTTGTGTTCAGATCACCAATTTTCAGACACCCACTCAAAGTTTTCCTCAACACTGAAAATTCCCTATCTTACTCCTCCATTTTGCTCATAGTTTAAGATGAGACTGTCTAGTACAATGAGATTTTTCATTTTATATCCTACTATTTCTGAAGAAGTCTAATAGTTCAAGCTTCACTTCCCCATTTTCTGTAAAACTAGTAGACTTGTCCAGAATTACAATTACTGGAAAGACTCCCCTTCTTGCACTATGGAGGAGCATATTTTCAGAACTCCCACTATTAGGGAACTACTTTCATTTTGATTTTTGAAGGGTAGCATTGTGTGCTTATTTAGGTAACTCAGAAAAACTTTGTGGTTTACTTCTGAGAAGGTTCTCATACCACTTCAGTGGCCTACACTCCAAGAGGTGACAGCTGTGGGGCCCTAAGAGTATGTGCTAATGACAAACTTTGATCATCAGCTACAGTACAGACAGCTTTCTCTGACTCACTGAATATTTCTTACATGAGACAATAAATTGGCTCCTGGTACACAAATTAGGAATGGATTCAATTTTCCAGGGTTTATACTAAGGCTTTGTGGGATTAAATTTCTAGTGGAAAGATCTGTCTTGGTATACATTGTCCGGATGAAGTCATTTGCTTTTCTGAAAGAGTTTGTGTTTTGTCTCTCTTCAAAAACAAAATACGCTATCAGTTTGCTGCTTAAAATATGTGAATGAGAAATTGACTTAAAAACAGAAGTTTGATAGAAAAATAGACTGTGATTTTTAAAACTAGATCATAATTGTATTCAACATTCATGTTTAACCTGTAGATTTTGGCTATATGATATATATATCCACACCTCAGACTCAGAGTTTTCAAAGGAAAACTTAATATTTTTACCTCCAAACTTGCTTCTGTTCCTGATGTCTCTATTTCCACCATCTCTTCTGCCACTTAGAGACAAAGGTGAAGTCTACTTCAAATCCTCCTCTCAGTTGATTCCCATTTCTAATCCTTTTTGCAATCTGGTAGATTCTACCACTCCAGACAAGATAGCCTAAGTTCTGCTCTACATTAATTCATTCCTCCCCAAATGTTTTAATTCCTTACTAAAGCCTTGGGAGCTTCATGCCGACACCTAAGTCAGGTAGTAAGTGGCCTTCCCAATTGGGCTGACTCCTCTCCAGTCTCTGTAATCTAGCCCAGATAATAGTAACAGCATAACCGCCCTAAGCCACATATCTGTGCATCATGGCACTTGCTCATTCTGTTTCCTCATGCTAAAAGTTCTTCCATCCCTTCAAGGGTCACTTTTCCCAGGAAATCTTCTAAGATCAGCCTGACCAGACACACCATCTCTCTTGAATCTCCACACTATGGTGCTTGGGCATTTCTCATCCTGCCTTCCTTACAGTCATTTAGAAACTTGCCGTTCTTCTTGCTGTCACTAAGTTGTCATCACATGAGTGCTGACAGTATGTCTAGCACATGCCCAAAGCCCCTGAAATGCCCAGGACACTGTTTTGCCTACAGTAAGAGATCAGTGCATTCTAAAAACATATATTGTTTATGTATAAACAAGGTCCTGTTGGTTGAGCTGCAGTGTTATGGTCCTTATTTTGTACACATTACTTTCAAACTCAAGTAAATGTCTGTTAGTATCAAAGGTGGTAGCAGCCTCTCTTGGAAGCAACAGTCTTTAGGTAAACCTTGGACATTGGGTGGGAGGCAGGCAGGCCAACTGGTGACTTTAACTGCTGGGTAAAACACTCGTTCCTCAAAACAATAGGGTTGTTATTGGCCTAAGTGCTGATTCTCTAAGGTGGGAATAATATACACAAATAAGATGAACATGAAGGATTTTGTTGTTAATGTTGTTTGTAAACTACATCCTTAAAGTATGACAGTTAATTACAGTGTTCAACTTAGAAGTTTTTTTGATGGAGATGTCAGCATGTTTCCAACTTTAAACAATGGAGCCTCTAACTAAAGCTGTTTTTAAAAATAAGGACATTTGGGGCAGGCACTGTGGTGTACTGGATAAAGCTTCTGCCTGCAGCACCTGCATCCCACATGGGCACCAGTTCCAATCCTGGCTGCTCTACTTCCCATCCAGCTCCTTGCTAATGTGGCAGGAAAAGCAGAGGAAGGTAGACCAATTGCTTGGGCTCCTATACCCATGTGGGAGACCTGAAGAATCTCCTGGCTCCTTGGCATCAGATCAGCCCAGCTCTGGCCATTGTGACCACTTGGGGAGTGAACCAGTGGATGGAATCTCTCTCTCTCTCTCTCTCTCTCTCTCTCTCTCTCTGTGGGTGTGTGTGTGTATGTGTGTAAAACTCTGCCTTTTGAATAAATAAATACATCTTTTTAAAAAGGACATTTAATATAATTTTATTTATTTTCACTTTATTTGAAAAGCCGAGAGACAGACAGAGAGATGAGGATTTTCTATCCACTAGCTCACTCTTTAGATGTCTGCAACAGACAGGGCTGGACCAGGCCAAAACCAGGAGCCCAGAACTTAATCAGGGTCTCCCATATGGGTTTTAGGGACCCAAGTACTTGAGTCATCATCTTCCATCTCCTAGGGTGTACATTGGCAAGAATCTGGAAGCGGAGGATCTGGGATTCCAAACCAGGCACTCTGATATGTGGTCCAAGTATCTCAAGCTGCACCTTAACTGCTGCACCAAATGCCCACCTCTGAGTATTCAATATCTATTCAAAACTGAAGAATTCAGTGACACAATGATCTTTCCATATCTCTGTGCTGGCATCTACAGACTGTACACCATCATCAGGCTTATTCCTTTTGAAGTTGTTGCTAGCAACAAGTGAAGCTAAATTCTTTCTTGTTCACAGCTTATGGGAGAAGATGAAGGAGTCGCTCTCCTAATTATAGAAGAGTCTCTCCTTTCCGGGAGATTGGTCAGTTCAAGTCACCAGTTACTCCAGGACAAACAGGAGTATCAAGGGAAAAACCAGGCATCAATTTTCTTAGGCTCTAGATGATAGAATAAGCTCTAAAAAGAGGATGGAATTTCTATGGTTGGCAAAGACTAATTAAAACCATTTTGGGAGTATGCATTTAGCCTAGTGGATAAGATCCCAGCTAAGATGCTTCCATTCCATATCAGATCACCTGAGTTTGCATCTCAGTTCTGGCTCCCGATTCCAGCTTCCAAATGCAGACCCTGGGACGTACTGGTGCTGGCTCAGGTAACTGGGTTTCTATCACTCATGTGAGAGACTTGGATTGAATTCCTGGTTTGCAGCTTTGGCCTGGGTCCAGCCCTGGCTGTTTTGGGCATTTGGAGAAATGAACCAGTAGTTGGGAGGTATTTTTCTCCATCTCTGTGTTTCTCAGAATAAGCAAATAGAAATTTTAAAAAACACTAATTTAAGGGAGGTATAAATTATTAAAAAAATAATATTCTGAAACAAAGGTGGGATAGATTATAGTAATGTTGAGTAAATAATAGTTATAAACATAAACTGAGAGTACTGTTCAACCAATGAAGATTGACTTTTTTTTTTTAAAGAAAGATTTATTTATTTGAAAGGCAGAGTTCTAGAGAGAAAAGGAGAGACAGAGAGAGATATCTTCCATCAGCTGGGTCACTCTTCAAATGGCTGCAATGGCCAGGACTGGGCCAGGCCTATGCCAAGAGCCTGGAACACCATCCAGGTCTCCAATGTGGGTGGCAGGGGCTTATGTACTTGGGCCATCACCAGCAGCTTTCCTAGGCACATTAGTGGGAAGCTGGATTGGAAGTGAAGCAGCCGGAACTGGAACTGGTGTTAATGTGGGAGGCCAGCCAGCATCACAGGCCGGTCCCTGATTATTGACTTCTTAAATCAAGAAACTACGATTTTTCAAATGTGATATTCCTAAAAGATCTATGCATGCATTGAGTGAGATTTTGTTATAAATAGGTACCAAAATTCCCCAATAAAACTATCCCATTGAAGAAATAGGACTTATGTAATATAGATTGTAAATCCACTAAAGTCAGGGACCAGCTGTCTCCTGCAGCACTCCATCTCTGAAGCTCAGCAGAAGGCCTGGCACAGGTGAGATATTCATAGACGTTTTTGGCTTGAGTCAGTAACCATAATGGTAACTTTCATTAACTAGCAGACATGAACTGGATCTGAGCATGACACGGAAAAGGAATCCCGGGTGCCAGATTAATTCAGTTGTAAGAAGTATCAAAGGGAAGGTTTTACAAAACCAAACTAACTCAATATGCAAAAGCCTTCTAGCAAGCTGCTGCTACGTTCCAAGCTAAAGAGGATCTGAAACCCTAGCAAACATCCATGATAACACTGTAGTCGCAGCTTTATTTTATCACTGTCTAAAAACAAATAGCACTCAAACTGTTTCAAATTGTCCTTGAATGAAAACTGAGCATTTGGACCATAAACCTTTATCTGGCATATGTGAAATGTAATATTTTCTTTTCATGAGTTCTATCTGAAACCACCATAAACGTCCCCACAAAGGCATCACACAGTGGCATTGGCCAACCAGGCAAAATGTGCCCTCCTGGATTTACTTGTATTTTGATAATAAAGAAAAAAGAGACGGAGCAGAGCCAAAGCTTCCTCCCCTTCCTCTTCCCACCCCCACCCCCCAAGCACCCCATCCTTAGCCATCAGCTTTTTGCAGACTTTCTGGAGAAACGTGGCCCAGCTGTCTCACTGACCTTCCAGGACACTGGAACTTCCCTCTTCCAAATGCTAAGAAGCAGTCCAAGAACGCGTGCTTCTCTAAATTTGCCTTTTTCCAGCGTTCCTGTGGGAAGAAAATATTTTTTTTCCAAATCAGCCTTATATAAATAAGCTTAACTTTATTTCTCTAGGCTAAAAATGACCTTGTACAGCTAATCCTTGCATATAAAGTTGCAGGATTGTTGGTAATTTTTTCCAACCTGTTATTAATATGAGACATAATTGTCAATTTGGAACACGAACTTAAAAATAAAACAGTTTAAAAAGAATTCTGTTAAGTGGCAAATGTAAATGATCCTGTAAATCAACCAAAGAATTGACCTAAGAAGAGGAAGGATATTTATAATAAGGTCTCAGTCTCCATCATAAAATTGCTCTTGGTAATAAATTTAGCAATAAGTCACACTGAAAGCCTTGCCTGTTGGAGGAAGCTTGGGACACAGAATGACTGTATCTGGATGCCATTTTTGACAGTTCTACCTAAAGGCAGACAATGGGTTAAGTGACCTCTTAAGATTCTGTTCAGCCCTGTGACTCCCTAGCCCTAAGAAATAGCAGAGCATTGTTTTAATTTGCTTTATTTTCATTTTCTGTACTCCTTGGAAACCAGTAACAGAAGCAATTGCCTGAAGAAGACAGAGTATGTCTCCTATCAGAAGCAGACATATTTATTTCAACATGCCCTCTTGGTTTCAGATAAAAACACATTTTAATATTAGTGAAGCTTATTCCAAAAACACCTTTCTATTTGGTTTGTAAATGCTACAAAATCTACACTGTAAATTTAACCTGTACTTTGTAGCCAATTTTGTTCTTAATTACCAGAGAAATATGACTGCTTAATTATACAGTGTTAGTTAATGTATGAATTCACACTCCTGACATAAAAAGAAGTTAAAATCAAAGGTTCATGGATAACGAGAGAGGTAACTTACGGGTTTGAACAACTCAGGTTCAGGAAAATACTTCGGATTTCTATGTTGCCAAAATGGAGACAGCATCAGCAAGTCACCAGCAGGAACCGTGTGATTCTATGATAGAAAAATCAGTTTCAAATGATATATTTTTTTTTAATTTGCTTCACAGATAGTTTGGGTTATATAAAAATGCTTCATCTATGTTGTGGTGAAGAGATAAGGATTTTATAATTAACGGCAACAAAATATATAACTTTGCTAGAGGAGTCATTTCTATTTTCCAACCTTGGTAATGACTGATTTCTAATCTGATTATTATTTACATGTGTACATATTTAGTTGCACAGGAGAAATACAGATAAACATCATCAAAGTCTTAGAGACTAGAATAAGTCTACTCTAATACAGATTTCGAATTCTGATTGGGTTTGCAACATGTATTCCTGATTACAGAAACTACAGTAGATCCCCAGGTTGTGGAGGAGAAAATTGTAATTCAGACAGAGATAATGGCCATAGCAGTAGATGCCATGAGTATGCTAACGATAGCATCAGGGCAGGGGCAGTATTGTGTTTGTTTTCCTTCAGTCCAATAGCAGCTATTAGGACAGAAAGGATGAAAGAGAACTGGTTAATAATACACAGGAAAAAGCCAGTGGCAAGTGTTGTGTATTATTTGGCTGGATGAGTCCTTGGGATCACAGTGGTTGTGATACTGAGGATAACTCAACAGTGGTTGTGAGGCTGAGGCAACTCAACACTATGTTTCCCAATTCACATTATGAAAGATCCCTATGATCTATAAATCCTACCAAAAACAGACACTCTCCCTTTCATCACCATGTTCAGGAACCATAGTACAAAAAGATCTACAAAGTTTTCTGATCAATAGATAGCTACCATGTTTACCAGGAAGATATTTTATTTAACTCCGATTGTCAATCATAACTTACATCTGCACGATTTTGTAATATCATTAAGATATTTGCAAAGCCTTTAAGTTTGTATTTCCAAAACATACGCATCTTAAAATAATTAAAATATCTTTTTACTGTAGCAGGGAGTGGAATATGGAGGGGGGGGGTCATCAATCTGTAGCCTGGGAGACCCCCCCCCCCCCCCCCGCTGGCTTTGGTAGGAGCCAATTACTTCTTGATGTTTAGAAGAGGTCTGCAGAGAGTCAAATCCAAAACTGGAAGAAAGCTGGTGCCCTCTTACAAATTTAAAAATAGAAAAAAACATTTGAGGTTCCAGTGTCATCTGTTTGTTTTACCTTTGCTGGAAATAGGGCTAGAGAGGCTCTGATTGACTGAATCAGTTAGAAGATGTGCTATAGGGGCAGGATGGACAACTGTCGCTCCTCCCTACCCCACTCCATCATCCTTATCAGTTGCTATTGACCTGTGATCACAACCTTGGAGACTAAAATCAAACTAGCAAAATAAGGGAGATGGCAAACAGGTGCTCAGGAACAGAATTAACATTATAGCCACAGGCAGGAGTCAAGAAAGAAGTTCCCGTTGCAGCAGCAAATGCCAGACTGCTGACTGGCATCAAAGAATGGCAGAGCTGGTTGCATCATCATGTGCAGTCTAAACAGTCCCTTTCTCTGTTTACAGGGCTCATGAAGCCAGAGATCAAGAGGGAGACAAAACAGTTGCAGGACCAGAACATAAATCACTATCACAGGGAAGTTACAACTGCTGTGTGACAACAACTGCATTTTCAGGCAGACAGAACTGGATCTGGCCAGCCAAACCCACCTGGTGAGGCCAAAGGAGATTCATGTGCTAATCTGGGGGTGGGCCTTTCTTGAAGAGGGAAAAGGAGGCAGGACTCTGCATTATGACTCAACAAGGGTGCTGAGGGCGAAGTGAGTGAAATGCAAGGGGAGTTTGGAAGAGAAAGGTGAGGCCCTATGAAGGCAAAGCATCTCTTAGACCAGGGCCAAAGGACACAGGTTCCTCTCAGCTCTAGGCCAGAAGCAGGGTTGGTGTTAGTGGCCAAAACAAAGTATTTTAAACATGAAAGAGTATACTATTTTTATGATAAAAACTGTTATCTACAAAAACTTTGGAAAATTAAGAAAAATAGAAAAATAGGGGGAAAAAAACAGAATTCCTGGGGTCAGCAGTAAAGCCACTGCCTGCAATGCGAGCATCCCATAAGAATGCCAGTTCCTGTCCTGGCTGCTCCACTGCCAATCCAGCTCTCTGCTAATGGCCTGGTAAAAGCAGTGAGAGATGGCCCAAATGTTTGGCCCCTGCCACCTATGTGGGAGGCCTGGAAGAAGCTCCTGGCTTTTGGCTTCAGCTTGGTCCAGGCCGGGCCATTCTGGCCATCTGGGGAGTGAAGCAGTGGATAGCCAATCTCTCTCTCTCCCTTTCTCTCTGTCTGTACCTCTGACTTTCAAACAAATAAATCAAAAAAAAAAAAAAGCAAAAACCAGAGTTCTGACACCCAAATATAGCCATCAGTTGACTGGATTTCTCTGAGTACTTTTACCTGTTAATACAAGTTTTTTGTGTGTTGTTGTTAAACATAGTTTTGATCCTCCTGAATAATCAATTCAAAAATCTTTCTTTGTTCCCTTAGCATTATGACATAAACTTTCAACTTTTATCTCTCTCTTGTGGGGAGCAATCCGGACTAGACTAAGTTACTCGAATTAGGACTTATTCTATGCATCTGCTCTCCCACAATATGGCGCTGGGAGAGAAGTAAACAGCTTCTGCACAGCTGCCTCCAGTTCAACCAATTAACTGTAGGACTTGCTCCTGATTGGAGAGCAGCGTACTCAGCCGAGTTGGGATTGGCGGAGGAGGACTATAAAGGAGGAGAGAGACGGCATGCACCAGGAACATCTATGGGGAACATCTAAGGGAACCCGTGCAGCCCCCGAGAGAACCGGCCGGCAGTGTGCCGCTCCCCTGCGGAAGTGGGGAATGCGGCCAGGGGGAACTGCCCTTCCACGGAGGTGGAAGGGATAGTAGCCAACCCGGGAAGAACCAGCAGCAAACCCGGGGAGGGCCGAGCAGACGAAAGAACAGCGCAGGGTCTTGTGTTGCTCCTCCACGAAGAGGGGGAGCGACACTCTCTTTTTTTTTTTTTTTTGACAGGCAGAGTGGATAGTGAGAGAGAGAAACAGAGAGAAAGGTCTTCCTTGTCTGTTGGTTCACCCCCCAGTGGCCGCTGAGGCCAGTGTGCTGCGGCCAGCACACCACGCTGATCCGAAGCCAGGAGCCAGGTGCTTCTCCTGGTCTCCCATACGGGTGTAGGGCCCAAGCACTTGGGCCATCCTCCACTGTACTCCCGGGCCACAGCAGAGAGCTGGGCTGGAAGAGGACCAACTGGGACAGAATCCGGCCCCCCGACTGAGACTAGAACCCAGGGTGCCGGCGCCACACGTGCAGGATTAGCCTATTGAGCCACGGCGCTGGCTTCTCTCTCTCTCTCTTTTTTTTTTTAAATGTATTTGACAGAGTTAGACAGTAAGAGAGAGACAGAGAGAAAGGTCTTCCTTCTGTTGGTTCACCCCCCAAATGGCCACTAGAGCTGGAGCAATGCCGATCTGAAGCCAGGAGCCAGGTGCTTTTTCCCGGTCTCCCATGCGGGTGCAGGGGCCCAAGGACTTGGGCCATCCTCCACTGCCCTCCCTGGCCACAGCAGAGAGCTGGACTGGAAGAGGAGCAACTAGGACTAGAACCCGGCGCCCATATGGGATGCTGGCGCTGTAGGTGGAGGATTAACCAAGTGAGCCTTGGCGCTGGCCCCAATTTTTTTCTTATTATATATTCAACCTGAATAATTTTCTCCAGTGGTTGTTTAAGTTTTTACTAAGTAGATTATCATAAGTAATTTCAACATTCCCTACTGTTTTGTCTATAATAAACTGTCTTCGTGAGAATTTTCTTCCGTAAAACATTTTTCATATAAATCCTTCAAATAAAGCTATTCAGAAGCCATAGGATATGATTATTATTCTTTTTTTTTTTTTTTTTGGTCAGGCCAAGTGGACAGTGAGAGAGAGAGAGAGACAGAGAGAAAGAAAGGTCTTCCTTTGCCGTTGGTTCACCCTCCAATGGCCGCCGCAGCCAGCGCGCTTCGCGGCTGGTGCATCATGCTGATCCGAAGCCAGGAGCCAGGTGCTTCTCCTGGTCTCCCATGAGGTGTAGGGCCCAAGCACCTGGGCCATCCTCCACTGCACTCCCTGGCCACAGCAGAGAGCTGGCCTGGAAGAGGGGCAACCGGGACACAATCTGGAGCCCTGACCGGAACTAGAACCCAGTGTGCTGGCGCCGCAAGGCAGAGGATTAGCCTATTGAGCAACGGCGCCAGCCATGATCATTATTCTTAATACACACTGCCCGACCATTTCCTCAAATTTTGTGACAATATATTCCTAACTATAATTTATGAGAATGTCAGTTTCATTTTATCAGTTAATATGACACTTTAATAGGTTAATTTAGGCTGCTATTATTTATTTCCTTATAATTTTCAGTCATTTAATTGAAAGGCACAGAACAAGACAGAGACTGAGACCAACAGGATCTCCCATATGCTGATTCTCTTTTCCCAACCCTGCTACAACCTGGGCTGGGCCAGACTGAAGCCAGGAGCTGAGGTTTCCATCTGGGTCTCACACAAGTGTGGCAGGGACTCAGCTATTTGAACCATCACCTGCTGCATGCTAGGGTATGCATTAGAAAGAAATTGGAATCTGGAGTGAAGCTGAGACTTGAAACTAGGCATTCTGACATGGGATATGGGCATCCCACACAGCATGTGAACCACTATGTCAAATATCAGCTCACAGGTTGCTATTCAAATTATTATGTCTTTGTAGGAATTTTCAATGTTATTTTTTCCTATAAGCTTTTGTGTTCATGTCCTGTCCTCACTCATCTATATGATACGAATACTTATCTATATGAATTCTTTAATATTAAAGCAATTTATTCTCGTGTTATAGTGACATTTTTCTTAATTTTGGTTTACATTTGAGTTACATTTTAAAAAATAAGATATTAAATGTTTGTATGTCGCATCCAAATCTGTTCATTTTGTGGTTTCTTTGATGCATACTAAGCTTGGATAGCCCTCTGCTTTCT